AATTTATCCAATTTGTTCAAACCTCACACTTTGTGACCCTTTGGACCTATTGGGTTATTGTTATCCCACATTAGCATTGTACTACCACTTTCCTTAACGATCACATTCCCCTTTAATTTAATTTAATTACCCTTTTTTATATTTCGGCCTTAATTATATTTATCACGACGCTTCAATCATTTAACTGTTTTTTAATCATGACTATATCCAAATACAAGTACTTTACCAAATATTTCAATCTATTAACTATCAATTACACAAATAACTTTACTTTTACTTTTTTACGCACCAAATAAATTTATTATTTAACTCTTACAGTAACTTTGATAAAGGAATGTTTAGTTAAATTTTTCAAAAAAGGAATATTGTCGATTAAGATCTGTTTTTTTCTTCTTCTTTTTTCTTTTTTTAGGCTTAACTTTTTAATTCTACTTATAGTAACTGTGATAAAGGAATGTTTTGTTAAATTTTTCAAAAAAGGAATGTTATCGATAACGATCTGTTTTTTTTTCTTTTTTCTTTTTTTTAATTACTTTTGATTTAATTACTTACAAGACTAGCTACTAGACCAAAACTACAAAAAAAAAAAATAGAAAAATATTTTAAATTACTTACTTGCATAAGCCTCCCACCTTTTCCATATCGCATTTTCTCGTCTCGACGAGAGTGTCAAATCCGCAGAATGGATCATTTTTTACAGCTGCAAAAAAGTAGAAAATAGATTTCAATAAGTCAGGATATAAATAAGTTTACAGCTTTTAATTAACATTTAATAAAGTTTTTTTACTCAATACAAATGCAAGATAAAAAAACTTATAGAAAATATTGAATTCACATGAAAATAAATAACAAGAGTCTGATACATTTTTTCATAACTTTCCTAAAACTTTCTTTGATTATCCAATCGTTTGAAAATATTTTCATTAATTCCTAAAACACCATTTCTTTAATTGAAAGCAAATTTAAAAACGTATACCATTGGCTTATGTAAATATTAAATTTGTAAATATTAAGTTTTTTTAAATGATTAAAGATTAAAACTCGTAATTTTATTTTTTTTATTTGCATGGTTATAAAATTTACAGTATCATACGTCATCATATATAATTATCGTTCACATATTAAGTTATTTATGACTGATATGTTTCCAATTTTATTCATTAGAAAATAAATACGCTTAGTCGAAATCATTTAAAATTTGAGAACATGCTAATAAATCCAAAAAAAAATGTATTTAAAGAAGTTTTTGAATTAAATTGGTGCTACCTCTGTTAGAAACTGTACCATCAGTACAAATTTCAACTTGTTTTAAGTATGCCGTTCTTGCTATTTCTTCGAATCCAGTTTGGCATTGTACTGCTGCATCAAGAAAACATTTTGTTGAAGAGGGAGACGTTCTGTAAAAGTGAAATCATTTTTTAAAAAAATGTGTTGGAAAATGATTGGAACATTAAAATTTCATACATATCAAAAATATATATGCATATAATGAGTGTCCCAAATATTTCCGACAATTTAACAGTTTACCTGCCAATGTTCCATTTAATCAACATGGGTTTTGATTTTAAATTTAAGTCACAACTAAATTTCGAATAATATTTTTACGTACATTTAAAATTATCATGAATTATTTTTTGAATTTCATGAAATATTTTTTAAGCTTTTTTTATTAATCCTTTCTTAATTAGAGAGTTTATACGGTTAAAAATAGGTTAAAGAAACACGAAAGGAGATAGAAATATCCAGTTTAGAGTATTTTCTTCTGTAAATTATGTTTTTATTTTTTATCAAGTTTTTAAATTATTTTTAAGGCTCTTCAACAGATGGCGAATTTTAAAGATCTAAGACAATATTTCCTGTTACATGTCAAACAAATACAACAGAAAAATTTGTATAGGATCTATAAATGTTGTCTTCTAACTGTGCTACGTTGTTACTTCAAAAGTTGGCTATTTTCAAAACCATTTTTTAGAGTTTTTTAGTTAGCAGTACCATCTGTTGACAAATTTTGCAATTTATTTTGATGTTTGGTTAGAATTAAAACTGGTAGCCAACGAATAATATGAAAAACTGGCAAGCAGCCAAACAGGAGAAATCGAAAAACCTCAATCAAATAGGAATGCAGATAAAAGTTCATACATTTCCCGGACCTTGGTGACAAAATGGATTGTGTATATCTTCTGACTAACACTGGTCGTTTTCTGCCTTCAAAATAGATGTTTACCTTTCTATGTAATTGCTCATTTATCAGCACTATAGTTTTCTAAGCAAAATAGGGTAAAACTTACATTTTAATCACCTTCTATTTTACGTTAACTTTGATTTGAATTTTCAAATTGTCCGTTATTTTTGGAATCCCCAATTGAAAGTTGCTTTTTAACATTTGTAGACAAAATTATATCTGCATGTTTTGTTTTGTTAGAAAATTACTAATTTCATTTTTGCATTAAAAAAAAAGTTTTAACAGACTACCGATTTCGCAAATTTCTGTGTAATATTTGTTTCTATATTCACAATAAGAATTATTAGATTTGTTGTAAGATCAAAAGAATGAGAAAAACATTTAAAACACTTGAAAAACATGTAAAAAAAACATGAAAAACATTTAAAAAACATGAAAAAAATTTAAAAAAACATGAAAAACATTTAAGAAAACATGAAAAACATTGAAAAAGCGTTTAAAGAACATGAAAAAAATTGAAAAAGAAAAAAAACATTGAAAAAGCATGAAAAGCTCAAGGATGGAAAATGGATTTAAAAAACAATTTATTTTTACATAATACAGTTAATAATATTTAAAAAGCAAATTAAAATAAATAAATTATTTAAATTCTTACCGGCAAAAGTCAGTATCAGACAGATGCTTGCGATATTCTTCTGCCACACATCTTAAACTCTCTTTATCAAAGCAATTTATTTCAGCAACTGTTAAAGCTGATAAACCTAAAATCACAAAAGTAATCTCTTATATTTTTATTCATAATTGAGCGCTGGAAAGCGAATAAATCAAAAGAAAATAGATTACGAACAATCTTGAATAAATTAAGAACGAAGGATCTTGAAAAAAATGTTTAGTGCAGTGAAGAAGAAATAATGCGTGGAGAATACAATACAACTTCGAGTTATACAACTGATTCAGCGAACCAAATATAGTGAAGTTTATTAAAAATCAGAGCCACGACGGCTTAGTGGTCAAGACACTAGGCTGTCATTATGAAGAGCTTGGGTTCGATCCCCAGTGGCGGCTTGAAGACCCCTAGCTTCAGATCGATGGGTACCAGCTTGTCTGGAAAATATTTGTTTCTATATTCGTAATAAGAATTCTTCGATTGATGAAAAGAGTAAGAGAAACATTTGAAAGCATTTAAGAAACAATAAAAAAACATGAAAAACTTTGAAAAAACGTTTAAAAAACATGAAAAAACTCGAGGATGGAAAATGGATTTAAAAACAATTTATTTTTACATAATGCCGTTAAGAATACATAAAAAGCAAATTAAAAATAAACAAATTATTTAAATGTATAGCTGCAAAATGAATAAATCAGAAGAAAATAGATTACGAACAATCTTGAATAGATTAAGAACGAAGGATCTTGAAAAGAATGTTTGGTGCAGTGAAGAAGAAATAGTGTGTGGAGAACACAATACAACTTCGAGTTATACAACTGATTTAGAGAACCAAATATAGTGAAGTTTATTGAAAATCAGAGCCACGACGGCTTAGTGGTCAAGACACTAGGCTGTCATTATGAAGAGCTTGGGTTCGATCCCCAGTGGCGGTTTGAAGACCCCCCTAGCTTCAGATCGACGGGTACCAGCTTATCTGGGAAGCAAAAGAGGCCCGTGAGCAGTGATGACCTCATTGTCGCAGTTATGCTGTTTGTCCGAAAATTGCGGAGCTTTATCCACCATGACCCCCCTGGCCTACATCAGGCGGTTGAGGGAATGCTTAACTTCATTTTTCATTGAAATTCAGCAATGAAAATGAGTATCCAAGTAAAAAAATATATTTTTACAAGCCCGAAGAAAGAGAGGCAGACCACGTGCATGATTGTTAGATAATGCAGAAAAGTATCTAAGCATCGTGGGAGTAAATAAATAGAGAGTAGTGGCGCTTGATAGATCAAGAAAGATAGTTGCTTGAGACTGCCATAGTGGGAAATCGGCTATAGTGCTCGTAGGTGAAGTAGAAAGGAATATAAACAAAGCGGAAACGATGAGAAGTATACAAGGGATTAATAATATAAAAATATGCAGGTGAAATATTTCTTAAAAATCTATCAATGACACCAAACTTGATCCCAATCCTATCCTTGGAAAGTGAGACAGGATTTGCAGAAAAATAGAGCACAATTCGACATCAAGTTGTTGCCTTTTGATTCAAAGGTGTCGCTGTTACTACAAAAGCAAAATAGAGTGACAATTGCTTAAAAAAGAGATAAATACTTGCCAGATCAAAAAAAAAAAATTTACTTGTTTGATAGTTTTAGAATACAATACAATGATATGAAACTTGACACTTCTTATCCATACTCCTGGAATGTCTTAGAACCAGAGGAGGTCGAGTTTGTATCATTGAATGCAAATTTCGAAAATATTTCCGCCGTTCATTCCTTATTCATTGCATACTTCTCAAGTTAACTTATCGTTTCCAAACCTTTTTGACACCCTGTATATGAATAATGAGAAGAGCTATCTAAAAAGTTTTAATCTTTTAAAATAAAACAAGGTTTCTGAATTAAATTTACTGTATTATTTTACATCGGAATGCGTCAAAAAATGAGCAACGCAAAACACTTATTTAAACTAAATTACACAAAATTAATTAAAGCTAAAGAAAAACAACGTGAAAAGAGCACAAATGAATAATTAATTCAGTATGAACAAAATAGAAATGAATAGTATAGTACAGAAATGGACATACTATAGCTTCAATTCTGTAAACAAGAACTTTCCTCCGTGTCTAAACACCAAATGATAGTGGAGAAGTGAAGAGGCAAATATGCACAAATAACCAATAGGAACACAGGAGCAAATAAATAAAAGCAGAAAGATAAGAATGACAATTGAGGGGATTTGGCGAGAACCCCCACAGTGCAAAAGATTAAATTAGAATGGCTTCTCAAATATTGGGAAACTGCCGAATTACTAAGTTATTAGAGTTTTTCAAAATATGGAATGATTCTCAGAAGTCAAATTCGTTTGCTGAAGAGCAGTGTTGAATGATTTTAGCAGAAGATAAACTCAATTTAATCATTTACATAAATTCGCCACTTATTTTCAAATTATCAATTTCTGAAATCACTTATACAAATGCATCTTTTTCCCAGAAAACATTAAAAAAAATCAGTAAAAAAAAAAAAAAAATCAGGAATGGTTCTATATTTTTTTTGACCATAATGAAACATGCTATTATGAATATCGAAAACGGGATTTTTAATTAATAGCGTGNCTGAAAAACTTACAAAAATATCCTTTAAGACTTTTCTTTCAGCTTAGCCCTTTGTCGCCGATAGGTCACCGGTGTCCCTTTTATATTTTTCTGACGTTCTAATTATGAAACATAAACAACAATCAATAAAACAAATATAATATAAAGTTTTGTTTATAATCAATAAAACAAATATAAAAAAGAATCTAGTAGTTACTAAAAATATCAGTTAGATTATCGGAATTATATTTGTACTAAAATATAAATTCCAAAAATAAGTAGTTTGAAAATTTTTTCATTTATAATTACGAATTTATGAATGATTGATTCTGTAAATTAAAAGAAAATCATTGATGTTTGTAACTGTTTCTTTTAAATCTAAGTAACTTCAAATTTGAAAAAATTTTGGAAGTAACCCGTGTTAGGAAGACCTTCAGCATGGAGTAGTTTCATATGCTGTATTTCATGACCGTAAATAATTAAAATGTTAAGTCTAATATTTTGCGCTTATTTTGACCTAAATTTTTAAAAAATAATGAAGAAAGTATTAAAAATATGTTTAATAAAAATTCTGCCGACAGAGGGATAAGAAATGTTATTTTCTAATATCGTCACGTACAAAATAGAACTTATCACATTAAAATTTGACGTTAGTGTGTTCTGTTTTAATATTATTATTATTTCTGTTATAATATTATTATTGTTCTGTTTTAATACTTTTTGTGTTTTGACCATTTATTCTGACAATAACTCTTGAATTTTATATATTTATTATAAGGGCAGATATTTCTTAATGCCATTAGAAAAAGGATTTATAATTTAGTTTTTGAACATAAGATATAGGTTTCGTGGAGGTTAGTGTGAAACCAAGGGATCACTTCCCCTTTCAGTTTTTAGTACTTTATACGATCGCAAATAAATTTACAACAATCATTTTAACAAACAAGTGTAAGCAAACAAGTATTTTAATTATGTGTGAGGAATAAATTCATTTTTGCAAAAGTTGTACACGCACATTTGCACATATGCAGGTAAAAATTTGGCATTCGTTTATATGGTAGAGAGTTAAGAAAATCAGTTTTTGGATTTTCTGATAATTAGCATTTATTTTTGCCTTAAATCCTTGTGAACTTCGTCAAATCACAAATTTCAATGTTAAAAAATTAAGGATTCCATTGAATGAAAATTAAAAAAAACTTTTCTTTCTATAAAGAACAGTACTTTAAGTGTATCTTCTACTTTGACAACCAACTTAGTCACCTTTACGAATTTGTATCTTCTCGACTGCGTGGTGTAGCATTTCACTGTATGGTGTAGCATTTCAATGTATGGTATAGCATCTCACTGTATGGTGTAGTACTTCAGTTCAAATATGTTACAATAATTTAATTGCACTTATACTGAATTCGCAATTAAATCTTATAATACCCTTAAATCCCCAAGAATTGATTAAATGCTAAGCATATATGCTAGATATTAAAGTATTGGACTAGGTTCGAGAAAATTCTTTTTTGAAAATAACCTAAATTAAAACTTTAATTTTTTTTTGGCAAGCAGGAGAATTAAAATTATAATTCTAAAAAAAATTCAAGATATTTTTTCAAAATTAGGGAAAATTAAAGCATGAAAACTATAATTTATTTATGTCACGCTAACAGTTTCACAGCAAATTGTAATGCCTAAATATTAAAATATTTTTTTCTATGTCAATAATATGGTTGCCTGTGTTTGAACTAAAATTCAAAAAAAAATTATGATGCATAAAAATCAAAATTTTTTTTATATATCCATAATATGGTCACTCGTGTTTTTAAAAAATAAATTTTTTAACAAGTTATAATAACAACTTTAATTAAGAATTTTATAATTTTTTAAATATTCAATGAAATAGAACTAAATATATTGTTCCATATTGGTTTTTTAAAGAAAAACTTACGCATGATGAAATTTTCTTTAGGCATGATAAGAATAGTAACTCTACGCTTGATAAATATAATAATAGCTAATATTATTTAACAACTACTTCTGAAGTTTCGAAGAATTCTAGATTAAACTTTTTTGTAATGTGTGTTAAAGTAAACAGATTTCCTTAAAATCAAAGTTTTTTTGGCAATACATATAAAATATGTAATAGTAAAAAGTTAAAAAAAACGCCTGACATCATACTTAGTAAAAACAACTACAACTTCATTTATAAAGATCGGGGAACAAAAATTTAGAAACCTAATAATCAAGAGTTCGAATATAGACAGTTAAAAAAAATAAACTGAAAATTTTCAACGATATTGCCGATTTTCCTTCAGTCGGGTTCCTTAATTCGTTTTAAAAGAAAGAGTGAAAGAGACATGATTTCACACAAACTCAAAAACACTGCATTTTACTGCATACCATGACAAAATTCGATTTAAAAAAGATCTATTAACCATTTTTCTTCGTAAATTTTAAGACAAAATAGTATATAAATTTTAACATTCTTTTTGAAAAAGCCAAATTAAATCGCAGAGAAAAGTTACTTAGTCATAAATTGCAAATTTAAATTAGACATAAAAATAGCTAGTAATTTATTTTAACCTATCATTGAAAATCAAAATCTAATTTAGTTCCTTTCTGCTGAAAAATATACTATTGCTATTACATTTTATTCCAACATTTGACATTAAAAATATCTTAAGACAAAAAATGGGTAGTAACAAAGAAAGGTATTAATGAATAATGCAATGCAGGTGAGAAAGAAAAACTCTTTTTTCTTTGGTGTGTCAATCTCTCATCAGTAAAAAAGAATTATTTTAGTAGTTATTCGCATATTTAAAAAAGCAGTGATGCGTTTATATATATATATACATTCAAATACTAAAATATTTTCCATATAAAAATATTTTTAATAAATATATGAATTATTAAAATATTTTTAATTTAGGTAATCTAATTCCCAAGATTCTGGTACAATGTAAGACAAATATGAATAATATTGGGTTGAAAAAACGATATTCTTCATATTGACATTATCGTTTGCGCACGTGAACTTTTTTATTGAACTGTAGTAGAGATAAGTTGTAAAAGAACTGAAGTGAAAATATCATTTAAATTAGCTAAATCTTTGGAACAATTTAATGATGTTCATTTTAATTAATTATTCTCTTTACTTTTCAAATAGTATTTGTGATCTACATTTTATATTTCCTTTTTATGAAATTTACACAAGTGTTTCTAATTCAAGCATCAAGACAAAGAACATTCAGCTTTTCATTAGAAACGAAACTGGTTTCTTCGAACTAATAAACTTAATTCATCTGGAGCATCTGAAAAGAACAGGTATTTTTTTTAAACACAGCTATATTTATAAGTAATGAAATATTCCATACTGTAAATTCTAACCTATTTTTTGACAATATTAAAGTTATTTGAAGCTTTTTCAGGACAAAACATAATCCGTGATCATTACTACTAACTTCATCGCTTTAAAAAAATTCTATATCATCGCTGTATAGATAGCTTGCGTTATACGGACCAAAATTTTGGAAAAATCTTTACAGATGTAATGCATATGGTTTTTATATCTAGCGCGGATATGATTTTCTTTATATACATAAATTTAAAAATCCTAATACATTCTATATAATACAACTATTTTATAAAAAAAAATCAATTCTGCTAGCTTTTTAAATAAAATTTTTTTTGATAAATGGAAAAGAATTTAAGGCTGCTATTGGCTTCTTCTTTCGCCACTAGAGATAATTCTTTTTAGCTTATAATATGTGATAATTAAAAATGTTGTGATTCCAAAATAAAGCAATTCACAACTGTTAGATTTTTTTCTCCTTCTCTGAACAATGTCTTTTATGCTTATAAGGAAAATGGTACCATGGCCATCATAAAAAAGCCACAGTTTTCTAAAAATTGAAAGTGTTTGTGATCTATTTGGAAACTAACTCAATCGGAATTGAGTGAGGGGAGGGGCGAAAGGGCGCATAATTAGTGACAATGAATTATAGAACTACAAATCTGTTGCCTTTACTTTTACTCTAGAACTGGTAAATACTTGACTTGTGATAAATATTTTACAGCGAATGAAATGTGATTTAAAAATGAACTGAATAAAAAAGCTTTAGGGTATAAAAATTGAAATACTCTTAATATTTATGAAGAATTAAAAAGATTCTGTTTGATATAATAAATGTTTTCAATATTTTAATTTCCATGTACATTTATATAAACATAAAATTTAAATTTGAGTCTTTGCAAATATATATTTTCCAATTTTAAAAGAAAAAAAGATTCAAGCAAAATTAAATTGAAATTTTCGCCTATCACGTAATCATAATCATTTAAATGCCTCTGCTTCATTTAGGCTCCAAGAAGCTATCAAAAAAATTATAATTTATAACTAATTTTAATAATTTTCAATGATATATTCGAAAATTAGTGCATTTTTTTAACAAAAAGGTTTTATAATGTTACTTTATAAACGAGCTTTGAAAAGCCGAATTGTTAAGTTAAATTGTTGTTAAGAAAAGCTACGTTAAAGTTTGTTTTGTAGTTCCCTGTTTGATAATTGTTTCTTTAAGTAGTAAATAATTACTTGTTTAAGTATAAAAATATTTTATTGGAAAAGTTTACCATACATATTGTTTTAGTAGACACAGTTTAACAACAGATATCTTATGATAAGAATCAGACAAACAGCTTTTTTTTCGCAAAGAAAATAAATTGAAGTGGATATCTAAGAGAAAACGCTTGTTTCCTTTAGGCATCTAAACAATATCGTAAAGCTTGCAAGCTTCTCTCATCAGATCTATGTACGTGAGATAAGCTTTGTTGAAGGCCTTATTAGTATCATCGGAGCATTTTGATAACAGGTCTTTCACGCATGTATATACCTTACTGTTGTCAAGATTTCTGTAAAAAGTAAAACATTGAGAAATTGAGTTAGCTTCATTTAAATGCAATTAATTGTAAATTTGCTACGAAAAAATTGCATTAATTTCATTTTGGAGCCATAATAACACTTTTCGTTTATGCAGTAAATATATTTTATTTTATAACTGTTGTTGACTAGCTGACACAATTTTGAGTTTATAGCTACCAATGTTCAACTCTGTAGCCTTGCAATTTTGAACCCGATACAGAATACAAGGGAACTCCTGGATAAAGTATTAGGAGAAATTTGCCTTCATTGAGGACTTTCTGAGGGAACTAACCCGCATTTGCTTTACATGGGGAGGAAAACCACGAAAACCTCTCGTGGTTAGTCTGACACAGCAAGGAAACTGTAACCCATTTAAATGTTTACATCTTTGGAAGAGGTATAACTATCCGCAACAAACAAAAAGCTATCACAAGATTTATACCATCTTATCCCTCTTCATTAAATCGGCACATATGCTGATAGTATGTTAAAATATTTAATTTAGCTAAGCATGTAATTTATAGTGGTAATTTAAATACTTATTCGCAGTTAATAGATACAACTTCTCCCATTAAACAAAAAAAATCAAAGACATAGATTTTGCCATGTTCTTGATCTTTACCTTGCCTGACTCCATTAATTTTTCAAACTACAGCAAGTATTTGTTAAGGTATGCAGTTACATTAAGCATATAATTTGAATAGGTAATTTAAATACTTAATCGCAATCAAGAAATATAAATATTCACATTAAACAAGCAGCTCTCACATGAGCCGGTACGTTTTACTATAATTTAATCCGAAATTTTTTTAAAGTTCAGAACTATTCCTCTTAAACAAAAAACCATCTTATGGGTTATGCCATTTTATCCAACTCCATTAAATTAGCATAGTTGCAACAAGATTGTCTTAATATTTAATTAAACTAAGCACAATATTTTTAAATAGTGTTCTATAAACTTTTTGTAGTCAAGTACACAAATATCCACGGCATCCACGGAATGAAAATTCAAGGTACTCGAGGAGATATACTTATTACCGAACATACATGAAACTCTTTTATTGAACATAATGAACAGAAAATTGTAGTATAAAAGATTAAATACTGAAGTTTAATTTATAATGTTCTATAAACAGTTTCATAGTATTTCATTTCTATTTAACTTTTATTGTTGGTGTTAAATATTGAAAAAATGAAAAAATACAGTATAAATCAAAGCTTTAAATGAGACAGTTCCTCTTTGTTTTTTTTGTTTTTTTGTTTTTTTTTGCAGAAAACTGTACTACCTGTTATACTTAATAATTATGGTTGATTCAATTAACTTTTTATATTACGTAATTCTATATAATATACGAAACAAAAATTACGAACATTCTAAATAACTTTTATTCAATTCATGGAATATTAATATCCTGAATTGAAACCAATCAATAAGTACACTGGGAAAAAAGTATGATCAAAATTACAAAAAATATAGCAAATAGTAGCCTGTTTTTGGCTCTAGTGTAAAACAAAAAGTTCGATAATTTTTACAGAAGCTATATGGTAGTGAGTTTGGTGAAGTGAAGAATAAAATATATATTTATATATCTAGATAAAATATATTTTTTTTATGATTTGTGATAAAATTTGGTAACTGTGGTAAAGTTTATTAATTTTATTATGATACCTTAGAGCTGGCATAAAACCATTTTTTTGATTAAATTTATTTTTTAATTAATTTTTTACTAAATGTGTGGTAATAAAAACTATAAACCAGAATTTCCTATAAACCGTTACCATATGAATGGAAAAATTACCAAATGAATGATTTAAATACCAAATTTTTTGGTTTTCTTAACCAGAATTATGATTTTTTTTCCCCAAAAATGTTATTACTATGATGTTATTACCATAATGAATGTTATTATAGGTTTCTGTACAGGAATGTTATTATAGCACAAAAATCTCTGAAATTTAGATAATCTACGACAAGATGAGTTCTATTATGTAAGGCATTGTTTCGCGTTAAATAGAATTAGGACCAACAGCACTCCTAAGAAAACGCGCCTCCATGACTTTATAGCTAGATCAGTCACTGTCGTTTTTTCGGAAACATGGTGGACTAACATGAACCATCTAGTACCAAGCCGACTCAGTTTTTTTTATATATGCTCAAAACTAGAACGTGAAGCTTATATATCATAGGAAATGAACCTAGAGAAGACCTAAAACCCTTGTTAACCTAATTTTTGTTCGGTTCTGAGACTCCTGTTTTATACCTTATAAATCCAATGGTTGTACTGAACAGAACTGTGTGCACAGTATAACTATTAAATAATTATTTCGTTTATTTTATATCACACTATTCCATATCAAACTATTCTATACCAAATTACATTTAAATTAGTCTACTTCTTCAGGATTTTCCAGCGGAGCAAGAAAATTCTGTAAATTTTGAAAAACAGTATATATTTTGCATACATACCAAATAAACCTTAAGAATTTCTGTATTATACCTGCAGAATATACCTTTAGAATTTCTGTCTCAAAATGTTTAGCTTAACCACGAAAGTAGACAAAGTTAACTTTTAAAAAAAATGTATGTTTTTGCATAGGATTATTACATGTAAGCTTTTTTATTTCAAAACAGTTCATTCTGAAACGAAAATATTTGTTTTCTGGACACTTAAATGCACAAAGTTGTAGTAGAATAAAAAGAAATACTGATTTATTTACCTGCATATGCCTCCTCTGTCTGCCCAATCACAATCTCTAGCTATTAAAAGATTATCAAACCCACAATTTGGGTCACCTTTCACAGCTAGAAAACAAAATAAAGGGCATTTATGTTTGGATACAACTGGATTATGTTATGAAATAATATTAACTGCCAACTTTCATTATATTTACATACTTATGCAAGGTGCTCATAATGGCAAAGCTTAATATGTATTCTTTATAATCTTTATCAAAAATATTCCTATTCGTTATCGACATTAAAATATAAAAATACTATTGAAATCCAACAAATCACTACTGAAAAGGCCTGGTTAGAAATCTTCAAAAATGATATTCATTGTGATTTCCATAGCGTTGAATACAGATAAAAAATATTATTCTGAAGGCTCAATTTCCCTTCAAATTAAAATTAAAGTAACCTTTAACAAAATTTATAATTCACAATATATATATATATATATATATATCGCA